TTTCAAAGTCCATTCATGCCACAACCTTTCCTTCTCATGGCCGTGCATGGTTTTCTCCTCTTTTTGCAGTGGGGATAAAAGCCATCCTCACAGCTGTTCTGACGTTGAGCCTGTTGTTGCAGTCACGGTGGCAACTGAGCATCTTCCCCTCTTTCGCTGCCCTTCCACTTTCCCAAACGTGGTCCTTCTCCAGGGCCTGGTCTCTCCTGACAACAGGTCCAAAGTACATGAGATGAAGTTCTTGCCAAACTTGCTTCTAAGGAGCATTCTGGCTGTACGTAGTCCAAGAGAGATTCGTTTGTTCTTTTGGTCATCCATGGACCTTCAACAATCTTCTCCAGCACCACCGTTCAAACGCATGGGTTCTGCTTCTGTGGTGTTCTTTATGCGCATAGGAGGCACTGGAAAACACCATGGCTTGGGTCAGGCACACCTTGGTCCTCAAAGTCACATCCTTGCTTTTCAGCACTTTGAGTGTGTGGGGGGGTTGTGCTGCCCATTTTCCCGATACAAGTCATTCGATCTCTTGACTGCTGCTTTCGGGAGCATTGATTGTGGATCCAAGCAAGATGAAATCCTTGACAACTTCAATCTAGGTAGGTAGCTGTTAATATCCCCCTTCTGCAGCTAAGGATGTAGGATCCCGGGGAACTTACGTGTCCAGGTCAGAGCTTAGCGTGCACAGTGCCGTTAGGCAGGTGACGGAACCTCTGTGAGGTGAGGTCCTTCTGACAGTTTCCCTGGCTCAGGTACTTGGAGAGTGCTCCTCCCCAACAACCCTCCCTCCACTTCCCCAAAGCCAGCTTCTTCACGATGCTTTTGAGCTACTGGTAGTTGAGGGCTTCCCTGTTTGTGCCACCCAGGAAGTCTGCCTGGGATGGGACCCTGGGATAGGTGTTTCAGAGAAGATTCCAGGTGTCTCCCTTACGTCTTAGATGGGCTGTGGCTCACTTGAGGCTCAGCTCCTAAGGGCCACCCACAACATGCCCCCAGCCTGGCCCCACTCTCCGGGCATTCTTGCTTGGGCATTCCAGCCACGGATGTAATTTCAGGACCTGCTTCCCAAAATAGCCTCTGAGCTCTGTGAAGCTGGACGCTGAGGGCACTTTCCCGACTTCCCCGACTAAGGGACTAAGGTCCTCGAGGGGGAGGCTCCTCACAAGTCATTTCTTCCTCCTTGGATGCCAGCGAGAGGGTTTCCGAGGGGCGGCTTTCATGAAGGGGCAGTCCGCTCCCTGTTGTGCTGAATCTGTCTGTCGCTCTGTCCCCACCATTTCTCGCCTGTGAGGTGGTTGTCTATACCAATACATTCTCCCAGTGTAGTTTACTAAACAAAGATTTGCTGAGCACCTGCTAAGTGCTCCGTGCTATTTTAGACCTCGGGGATGCATCCAAGAATAAAATACTCCCTTGGAGCTCAAATGTCTTTCCTTTTGGGAAGGCTGGTTCTCTAGTGTCCCCCATTGGGTAAATTTTTACCCAGATTCAGCCAGACTTACCCACCCGAAACCCCAGGCCATGTGTGACTGTACCTCCTTTCCCTCACCCCCTCAGGCCCACTCTCCCCCATCTCTGTTCTTTTCACCCCACTTCCTCATCTCTATACTTAAAGCAAGAGCCTGCGGGGAGCCTATAGAGCAGTGGTTCTTAATCTTCCTAATGCCGTGACCCTTTCATACTTTCATGCAATTCCTCATTGTGTGGTGACCCCCCAACCATAAAATTATTTTCATCGATATTAAGGCTCAAGTAGAAGGCAAATGTTTAGAGAATGATGATGGCAACCAATGTACAAATGTATTTGACACCATGGATGTATTCATGGATTGTGACAAGAGGTGTATGAGCCCCCAATAAAATGATTTAATAAGAAAAAAAAAATTTAAGACATAAAAAATATATATATATAAATGGATGTTTTAATGCCGTGGGGGTGGTTTCTCCCTCAGGGGACATTTAGCAATGGTCCCTCAAGGGTCATTTTTGGTGGTCACAACGGTGGGGTGGTGTGGTGGCAGTGGGTTGGGTGTGTAGTGGGTCGAGGGTGGGGATGTTGTATAATTCCTGCAGCGCACAGGCTGCCCCCACCGTGAAGGATTTGCAGCCCCCAAAGCCAATAGTGTCCAAATGAAGAAGCCCAGCTCTAATGCATTATGAAGGGTATCTATCCCTCAGGTCACAAAAAGAATCTTGAGGACCCCTCTCCCCAAAAGTCTCCAGCTCCCTTACCTTCCTCTCTTAAGGTAATCCCATCCTGGGTTGGTTTTAAATCAATTTATCGGGCGCTCGTACAACTCTTATCACCATCCATCCATCCATCCATCCATCCATCCATCCATCCATCCATTGTGTCAAGCACATTTGTACATTTGTTGCCCTCATCATGCTCAAAACATTTGCTGTTCTATCTTACAGGGCCTCTGTGAGTTAGACAAGACCTGACGGCCGTGGGTTTGGTTCCATCCCCTTTGAAGCAGCAGGACACGATGAAGGGACTGTTCCCTTTTCTTAAGCCATAGCTCTTTCCCTTGCTGGGGTCAGTTCATCTTCTTGGAAGGGTCTCCCTGCTATGCTTAGTGGGACCCGCTTCATTCTGATCCTGTCAGCTCAGTTGCTGGCCTTTCAAGGAGGAAGGTCAAGAGCGCGGACCCAAGTTCCTTGTCTGGGGGATTTCCCAGAATGAGAGGAACCCAGTTCTGTGGGCTCTACAGTGGACGAGGGTGGCCACTCAGGCCTCTCCCTCCCAGCCCCAGGCCGTGTGTGAAATAATCGCCCTGCTCAGAGTCATCGAGCATTGGGTAGTGGCGGCCCTCTCTGGTGCATCTCTCCTCACTGCCTCCTCTTCCATCCTGACCTGCACCCGTGCACTTCATGCCTCAGCTCCAGGGAGGCTCCAGCTGGGGGTCACGTGGGGCAGGTCTCAGCCATTTTACATCTACATCCCCTTGTGGGACCACCCAGCTGCTTTAGGGATAGACCCAGACACACCCTTTAAGGAGCAAGGGCGATGTTTAAACCTTGAGGGAGAGGTCACAGAACATGTGAGTTCCTGGGTATGTACCTGTGTTTGTCCAGGTAGACTAGAGGACACTCATATGTGTGTAAGAGAGAGCTTTATATCAAAGAGTAGTTGTATATTAAGAAAACATCTCAGCCCAATCCAGATCAAGTTCATAAGTCATATAAGACACATTAGCCCATGTGTCCGATATCAGTCTGTAAATTCCTCTTTAGACTCACGCAACATATGAAATGACCTTGAATGCTGCAGGATCACAGGCCAGCGGGTGGAAAGTCTTGTGGCTCCAGTGGCAGTGGAAGCAGCTCAGTGCTGGCGTGGGTTTCCATGTGGCTCCTCCAGCTCCAGGGCTCTGGCTCCATCAGCGTGTCTCCATGTGGCTTGTCAACAGGAATGTCTCACAGGGAGTGAGTGTGTGTATCTGGCCTCCAGTGAGCTATTTATCTCTGTGGTGCCTACAAATGAGGTCATCAGGCTGTGAGCTGCTTGACAGGCAAGACTCCACCCCTTCGCAAGTTGACAGTCCCCAATAAAATGATTTATATATACATAAAAGCCGTAAAACAAGTATGGTCGAGTGTGTGAATAAAAATAGTAACGATTAAAAAAAGGAGTTAAAAAAAGGCAAATATATGGAGACCAAAAGTGTACTAGTGGTCATCTGTGGCCAGAGGGAAGGGGAGAAGGGCGTTGAACGGTGATGGGAAAGTCCCGTTGATAATCAGGGTAGGATTGGACCGATGAGTTAAACTGCCGTCGGTAAGTTAGTTGTACAGCTGGAAAAGACTGTGGTGGCTGCACTCACAACCATCACACACACACACACACACACACACACACACACACACACACGACAGAGAAGCTGCTAAGGGCGTCCACATCATTGTCAGAACTGACTTGTGTCGCCATCCTCACTGTTGTCCTGATGTTGGCACCCATTGTCACAGCCACTGTGCCAACCCATGTCGTCGAGGGTCTCCCTCTTGTTCCCTGCCCCTCTGTGTCCCCAAGCTTGATGTCCTTTCCCAGGCACTGTCCTCTCCCGTGGGCTGGTCCAGAGTCCCCTGGAAACCAGTAACGCACTTTTCTGTCTCTATGGGTTTGCCTGTGTTGGGACATTTCCTAGAACTGTCATGGCTTGGGGGTGGGGTGGGGTGGCTGGGGGAGTACTGGACCTGATTGTGATGGTGTGCATGCACCTCTTTAAAAAGACGACTTAACCATAGCAGTGTTATGAGATGTGAGAAACCAAGCTTGACCCATAGTTACTGTGGTGATGGGGAAAGAGTTGTTGCTTAGGGGGCGTAGAGATACGTTCATGGTGGTCGAGTAATTTGGAAGAGGATTTCCATAACGGTTGTCCCACATGAAGGGCATGATCAGTGGCACCGAATGATACATGCAGAAGTGGTTGAGGTGGAGAACATTTTGTTGTGTCTAACTTTTGCCGCACTTAGAAATAAGTGCCCAACGATGAGTACAAGGAAGAGGATGCTGTTCTAGAACTGACGGTGGCGGCAAGCGTACGACTCTGCTTGATGTGACGGAATTATTGAATTGTATGACAGGTGGATGAAGTGCTAACAAAACTGTTTAGAGAATAAATTAGAAAATAGATGTGTCATCCGCCACTAGGTGAAAGTGAAGTTTGTGAAACGACAAATGGAGTATTTTCTGTGGTCCCTGGATGAGAAGAAGCTGGGTTTGGAAGTCCAAAGTCTAAGCACAAGCCAGCTGAGCGGAGGCCCCCCCTCCCCCCCCACCCCGCCCCCCAGGTGTTTCCTCTCCCAGGGCTCCTGGACAGGGCTGCTGTTGCTTGGTGCCCAGTTGAGAGGGGGACACGTGCTGGGGAGACAGTGCTCTCAGGGGACCCGACTCCCTTCTCGGGCAGGTGGGCGAGCTCAGTGCTGGTCTCAGGACCTAAGTATGGCAGGTGCTGGGTGGGACCCGTCTCTCCATATTCTCCTTGTGTCTCTTCTAGGGGTTAAGAAGCGAACCAAGGTCATCAAGAACAGCGTGAACCCCGTGTGGAATGAGGTACGATGGAAGCCTTCTCACTCTCTTTCCTTTCTCCTCTGCTGCCTCTGCAGGGACAGGTCAGGGTGGCCCCAGGGGAGGTGATTTTCTCAGTGGTGCTGTGAAGGAAGTCCAGTGAGCCAGCTAAATCCTCCTGCCTCTAGGAATCTGGGAGGGGGGAGTGGCCTGGCCTTCCAGGTGTGGTGGCATTGCCCCAGAAAATGGTGGGAAGGAGCAGGGGGCATTTTGTCTCTGCACCCTCAGCTCT